ATATATCTGCACTGTATTTTGGTCATTTCGACAGCACGCTAGCCGATCTTGAAAGAATATCTAGTTCTGTAGCGCTCATAATAACTTTGTTATGCAGTTGCCAATAAAGCGGAGACTGGTACAGATCGGACGTCCAATATTTAGCAAAAGATCGGACGTTACTCACCCACCTGTCTAACTGCATGTAAAAAAAGAGACTACTACAGATTGGATGTTGCTCACCCACATGTCTGACTGCATAAAAAAAACATCATAGTTAAGCTACTACGATGTAAGCCTATACCCTACTCTCATGTATGCATGCATGAAATCTCTCTCTTCATATTCTCTACCAATAAACCTTTAAACTAATTTTTCTTCTAAATTACTTATCCGATCTACCGTCCGATTTCACCATTGTGTTCGTTATAATTAAATCTTTACAATAAGATCTCACTTGGTTATATTTCTGATAAAATTTATAAATATGATTATATTACTAATTGGAACATTTATATATTATACGTGAAACAACGAGTTATAATTATTGAAACATTAGACAATATTCATTGCAACATCCAAACAAAACGTGCAACATTTATAAATGAATTAGTGAAACATTAGAAAATACTTACTGAAACATCCAATAATACCACGTGCAACATTCACAAATAAACTAGTGAAACGTCAGAAAAATATTTATTAAAACATTGAAATAATGCCATGGAACATTTTATAAGATCCATGGCAACATAAAACTTAAAATGTGCAACATAGCCATACTCTGATTGAAACTTTTATTTCTTACACGTGAAACATTCAAGTTCATCGGTTGAAACATATGTATTTTTTTAATCGGAATATAATCATTTGATATCTTGTTATAGAGATTTAATTGCAACAAATACAATTGTGCAATCGGATAGTAAATTGAATAAATAGTTTTCAAGGAAAATTCCTTTAAAGCTTACAACTAGAACCTCTTGCATGTATATACTCGTAGACTACATGAAGCTAAATAAATGCTAGCTACATGCAAGGATGAGACGTGGAGAGAGAAAAGGAATAGTGCATATGTAAAGTCAGAGTCATGGAAAAGGTGAATCAACTTTAGATTAGTACAAAGGAGAAAGTTGGTGTCCGATGTTTATCTTCCGATCGAACGCACGACACGAAGCATTTCCCCAATAAGGCCTTATAAAGGGGTGAAAAAATACCACCTTTAGCTGTCTCTTTGGCTCGATTTAAATTGAATTGCTCCAAGTAATCTGCCTCTTCCTTCAAAACTAAAATAACATACTTTTCAAACACATGTTACTTTCGCTCTAGCTTGAGTCAGCTCAATCATTAAAACAATACTAGTCTCAAATGGAACATAAAAATTATAAATTATGGGGAAGAGCACCAGTAATACAACGGTGAGTCGTTGGTGCATGACTCCCCCAACCAAGTTTTAAATTATGATGTTCCTAAATATTACACATATGTAGGTGAGCTTTAAACAAGATTTTAATGAGATCAGGATGTGTCGCTAGCTTCGTCTATTAGAGCGTGTGTTAAGGGTCACATTTGCTGAGGTGTTGAGTGTGGTGTTACATGTGTAATTGGTCTCAGTGTGTACGCATCTGTAGTGTAATCTAATAAATAAATAAATTATAAATTATAATAAATTGATTAGAAGAAAATTAACTCAATAAAAAAAGGGTATGTCCAAATGTCAGGAGAAAAAAAAATAAATGTCTGTTTATGTATCTGAGGAAAAACAAAGCTTGATAAGAAACACCCCTTACAAGTAATTGATAAGAATTTCTCGGGTACACACTCGATAAAAACTTGATATATATTGATTTTTTAGGATTTATTGAAAATTAAAAAAGTGATAAAATATAGAAAAACTTTGGAAAGTTGTATGAAAGTATAGAAGAAGTATGGAAATTAAAATAAAGGAAAATTCACGGCATGAACTTTGCTATAGTTTGGATATTCTCAAAGATAGATACAACAAGAATTCAAAAAAAAAAGAATTCACAATTCATGACAATAAACAACAGTGTCAAGTTATTACATAAAGAGTAAATTAGGATTTATTATGTAAAAGTACTAATATTAATAGATTTATCATGAAAAATGCTTTCATATATAGTTATATGTTAGTAACTTTTTACAAAACATAAAGTTAGAAAAAGTAATAAGGGAACATGTGTTTTTGGAGACTGTGTTTGTGTCTAAAATGTAAGTAAAAGAGAATGGAGATAATAACATTCAGTTCCATCTACTTTGTAAATTTCGGCGGTGCCAGCCAGCATTAATTAATGAACCCATAGCATTGAATTGGCACAACAAGAAAAAGGAGAAGTCTTTCAATGGTCAAGATGCTTTTGGGCGGAGATACCACACATCTAATAATGATTAAAGATTGAAGGGCTAACCTCATGTAGCACTGGTACATGCTTAATTTACCGCTAAATATACCCACGTGTGCATGTTCTACACTACTATAGATCCTGCTATTGTTGGTGGCCTATTTATTATTGGTGGCCTATTTGTTATGGATCAATACAACACATCACAGAAACCTTTATCTCTAACATGTAGAACATTAGCCCGCTTAAGATTATATTGTCCGGAACAACCTGCCACAAATCGAGGTTATATGTGATATAGTAATTGTAGCCCGTCACGGATCATTTATGATAGGTCATAACGACAACCCGTTATGGATGATCCCACACCTTTAACAATCTATTAACCCATCACTGATAAGAGTGACGGGTACCCGATAGAAATAACAAATCATCCCTAACGAGTTTGTTTTTTAACCCATCACCAATGTAGAAAAACCGATTGAGCGGTCAATTGCATGTCATCCACACATAAAAGATCTTCAAGATATCTCTCTTGCTAGCTAGTCAGCCTCTCCCTTCTTGTTGCTATCTCCCACCTTCACCGTCAGCACCAACTCCAACTCCACCAGCCATGCCGGCACCAGCTCGATCTCGACCAGCCACTGCGGCCTCTAGATCTGAGAGTTCAGGCCGCTAGCCTCCTCCTAGGGTCAAATATGAAGAACACCGTTTAAGCGTAATAGCAGATCAACCAACAAAACTAATGTTGGACTATAATAATGGATTAAATGTTATTGTGGTTACTAAGAACGCTATGTGGTAAAAAAAAAGGGGGACACATTTAAGTATTTGCCACTTCACAAATACGACGTTTAACAATTGATCACTCATGTTGTGTCTATAAATATGGACCTAAGCTAGAGCCCTCGTATCTTAAACACGTAATGTGAAAAATTATTAAATACCACGTTAAAATTGATAAATACTTAAATATCCCCTGTTTGGCACCCGTCGGATAGACTCGAAGCAAAAGTGCAAAACAGACCAAACCAGACGATCAGCTACTTTATTACATATCCAGGATAACCCGATAGCATATCATCTGAAAAATTATACTAGTACCAATTTACCATTCCTGGCATCGACAACGAATGCACGCACGTAATAAAGGTACATGGGCTCCCTAAAAACAGACACAATTTATGAAAGTATAGAAGAAGTATGGAAATTAAAATAAAGGAAAATTCACGGCATGAACTTTGCTATAGTTTGGATATTCTCAAAGATAGATACAACAAGAATTCAAAAAAAAAAGAATTCACAATTCATGACAATAAACAACAGTGTCAAGTTATTACATAAAGAGTAAATTAGGATTTATTATGTAAAAGTACTAATATTAATAGATTTATCATGAAAAATGCTTTCATATATAGTTATATGTTAGTAACTTTTTATACAACATAAAGTTAGAAAAAGTAATAAGGGAACATGTGTTTTTGGAGACTGTGTTTGTGTCTAAAATGTAAGTAAAAGAGAATGGAGATAATAACATTCAGTTCCATCTACTTTGTAAATTTCGGCGGTGCCAGCCAGCATTAATTAATGAACCCATAGCATTGAATTGGCACAACAAGAAAAAGGAGAAGTCTTTCAATGGTCAAGATGCTTTTGGGCGGAGATACCACACATCTAATAATGATTAAAGATTGAAGGGCTAACCTCATGTAGCACTGGTACATGCTTAATTTACCGCTAAATATACCCACGTGTGCATGTTCTACACTACTATAGATCCTGCTATTGTTGGTGGCCTATTTATTATTGGTGGCCTATTTGTTATGGATCAATACAACACATCACAGAAACCTTTATCTCTAACATGTAGAACATTAGCCCGCTTAAGATTATATTGTCCGGAACAACCTGCCACAAATCGAGGTTATATGTGATATAGTAATTGTAGCCCGTCACGGATCATTTATGATAGGTCATAACGACAACCCGTTATGGATGATCCCACACCTTTAACAGTCTATTAACCCATCACTGATAAGAGTGACGGGTACCCGATAGAAATAACAAATCATCCCTAACGAGTTTGTTTTTTAACCCATCACCAATGTGGAAAAACCGATTGAGCGGTCAATTGCATGTCATCCACACATAAAAGATCTTCAAGATATCTCTCTTGCTAGCTAGTCAGCCTCTCCCTTCTTGTTGCTATCTCCCACCTTCACCGTCAGCACCAACTCCAACTCCACCAGCCATGCCGGCACCAGCTCGATCTCGACCGGCCACTGCAGCCTCTAGATCTGAGAGTTCAGGCCGCTAGCCTCCTCCTAGGGTCAAATATGAAGAACACCGTTTAAGCGTAATAGCAGATCAACCAACAAAACTAATGTTGGACTATAATAATGGATTAAATGTTATTGTGGTTACTAAGAACGCTATGTGGTAAAAAAAAAGGGGGGACACATTTAAGTATTTGCCACTTCACAAATACGACGTTTAACAATTGATCACTCATGTTGTGTCTATGAATATGGACCTAAGCTAGAGCCCTCGTATCTTAAACACGTAATGTGAAAAATTATTAAATACCACGTTAAAATTGATAAATACTTAAATATCCCCTGTTTGGCACCCGTCGGATAGACTCGAAGCAAAAGTGCAAAACAGACCAAACCAGACGATCAGCTACTTTATTACATATCCAGGATAACCCGATAGCATATCATCTGAAAAATTATACTAGTACCAATTTACCATTCCTGGCATCGACAACGAATGCACGCATGAAATAAAGGTACATGGGCTCCCTAAAAACAGACACAATTTATGGCGATTTTGACGATACGAAGTATCTAGATTTATTCGGTCGGATCACACACTGTACGCCCCTAATCAACGCCGAATTTTCGCCATGTCCTATATTATTTCGATGTCGGGCAAGCTGCCAATCCCAAACCAAGATTATGCTCTCTCCATACAATTAACTCGATCTACAACTACTCTGCCGCTGCACATGCCTGCAAATTCGCCAGTGCGTGTTTGATCTCGCATCAGCAACTTGTCCTCTTCCAGAGCACAGATCTATCTGTCAAATCGCATGTCACCCCTGCATTGCTGCTGCCACTTGACCCTACACAACAAATTATACAATTATTCATCAAATGATGATTCATCCATCTCATGAGTTTTTTTCCCTTAAACAATTGTTAGCATAATCCCTTGCAGAATATATGCGAGATAATGACGTATCTTGTTGGAGCAATAAAAAAAATTATGGCCATTGTTGGGTGAAGCAAAGGTTATAGCAGAACGTGCAGCCACACTAGCCATGATCCATCCATGAACCATGATCCACAATATATATACGTGTGTGTGATGGTGGCTTTGCCATTGTCATCGTGGACACTGCAATTTGCAGCTACCTCTCCTAATCTCTCTTTGATCAAATCACTATCGTGTAATTAACGCATAGTTAGCTATGAGGAAGGTGTGCCCTAACCTTGACCGGGAGGACGGCCTCGACACCGTGCTGGAGGTGCCGGTGCCGGAGCTCCACCGCCAGGCACCGCGGCGGCGAGGGCGGCGCGGCGGCGGCGGCACGGTGAAGTCGTGGGTGCGGGCGAGGATGGAGCACGGGCGGAGGCGCGACGGCGCGGCGCCGTCGCGCGCCGAGGTGCAGCTGATGCTCGGCGTGGTCGGCGCGCCGCTGGTGCCGCAGGCCGTGGAGGCGAGGAAGGCCATGGTGGCCGGGCGGGGCGTCGGGGGGGAGGGGGAGGAGCCCCTGGACCTGGAGGCGTCCAAGGCGAGGTACATCGTCGAGCAGTACGTCGCGGCGGCCGGCGGCGAGGCCGCGCTGGGCGCCGCGACGAGCATGTACGCGATGGGGAAGGTGCGGATGAGGACGACGACGACGAGCAAGGCGAACAAGGGCAAGGTGATGGGCGTGGCCGCCGGCGGCGAGGTGGCCGGCGGGTTCGTGGTGTGGCAGAAGAAGCCGGATCTGTGGTGCGTGGAGATGGTCGTCGCCGGTGGCGTCAAGATGAGCGCCGGCAGCGACGGCAAGGTCGCATGGCGCCAGACGCCATGGCAGGAAGCCCACGCCTCCCGTGGCCCGCCACGGCCGCTCCGCCGATGTATTCAGGTACTGAACTGTTCTTTCGTCTCTGCGTTTTTACCCAAAAGAAAATCAAATTTGACTAAAACTTGTAATAATTGAGCAAATCACAATTGCATGCAAGAACATGGTGTACCGTACCCGGACAATCCGGCCGGACGAACGTGCTCCCATGTGCTTGTAAATGTATGATTATTTAATTTTGATTTAATTACTGTATTAATCAATTTTGATTATGTGTGATGCAGGGCTTGGACCCGAAGTCGACGGCCGACCTGTTCTCGAGCGCGGCGTGGGTGGGCGAGAGGTGCGTCGACGGCGACGACTGCTTCGTGCTCCGCGTCGACGCCGACCACGCCGCGCTGCGCGCCCGGAGCAGCGGCGACGTCGAGGTGGTCCGGCACGCCGTGCTCGGCTACTTCAGCCAGAGGACGGGGCTGCTCGTCCGCCTCGAGGACAGCCACCTGCTGCGCATCGGCCTCGCCCACGCCGCCGCCGAGAGCGCCTACTGGGAGACCACCATGGAGTCCTCCATCGGCGACTACCGCGCCGTCGACGGCATCAACATCGCGCACGCCGGCCGCACCGCCGTGTCGCTGTCCCGGTTCGAGAGCGCCGACGACGCCGCCGCCGCCGCGCGCGGTAGTAATAAGCGGTCGTGGGGCACCACCACCATGGAGGAGACGTGGAGCATCGAGGAGGTGGACTTCAACGTCGTGGGGCTCTCCATGGATTGCTTCCTGCCTCCCCGGGACCTAGTGCTCAACGACTGCAGCAAGCAGCAGCAGAAAGAGGACGCCGCCGCCGCCGTCGTCGTCAAGGACGCCGCCGCCGCCGTCGACGTCAAGGACGCCGCCGGTGCCGCCGCGAACGCCAAGGGCGGTAGTGACGACGGCAAGACCAACGGCGGTGACGTCGGCCGCGGCGTGGTGGTGAAGAAGGCGCTTGTTCCGGCGGTGACCGGACTGGGTTGGTTCGGTCCGGCCAAGGTGGTTGCCGTCGACGACACGGTGGACGACGGCGTCGCCGCCGCAGCCGACGACGACAAGTAAATGTAGATATCTCTCGGCTACTCGCTAGATCAGGTGGTGCTCGCTTCTGCGCCCCTCAAGAGTAAATATTAATTCGTATAGTTTAAGTTAATTTCTACTACTTAGGAACATGCAAGCTTGATCATGTTATATGTTAGATCTAGCAACTGCATTCCATTGTAGATGTTGGGGGAGGAGACTAAGTTTATGTTCTTCTCCATTCGAGTTTGAGGACATTTTGCGTAGTGTCCGGCCGGTGCTTCATTCATGATGTAATTTAATACTTTGGAAACAAACATCCAAAGGAAACTTTGTGTATCCATTTTGTTAAGAACGACATGGGGGCTTCAGTTCCAGGTCCATTCATCAGAAACTAAAGTTATTACCGCCAACGACGAAAAGCATCCAAAATTTTGACAAATTGACTTGTTTATAAAAAATTATTTTAAAAATAAAACGTAAAAAAATAATTTCAGAAATAGATCATGACCTCAACGACAATTTTGTGCTGAGCTAAATGTCTCAACTCCACCACTATTGATGTTGAGATCTCATGATCTTGTCCGACGTGACATAAATCTGCAAGGACACGGGAGCTCAGCATAAGTGTGCTGGCGGCATCGATCGATGTATGGTTCAGCATCCTCCACTATCCTCCGAATGCATATTTACATTTTTTGAGTTGATATTAAGATGCAAGAAATAATTTGAACCACGTCAAAATGTGATCACCATCATGGATCTCAAAAGGTACAATCTGGAACACATACACATACGCACACATCCCCCTCCAAACAAAAATATTTACGTACCAGATTAAATCTTAGCCTCTACATCTAAATTAGATGAATACAACACCAACCCAAAAAATATAAACTATTTCTTAGCTTCCAATGTTCCAATACAAACAACAAGATATATTACTTCGCTCAACCATGCGCAATCATAAGAGTGGAGTGCATTTTCCGTACAATAAAATAAATTGAGTGCCTAAACTTCAGGCACCATTTTTCTTGTTCTAGCTAGGTGACAATCCAATAATTCTCAACACTTCTCTATTGCTAATTTAAAAAAGTCTATTCGATTTAAATAAAAGGTCAAAACAATAAATTATTATGACATAAAATGCAAAGTTATATGAAATGAACTTACAATTAATAAAAATAAAAAATACATTAAAATAGGCTTAGATAAAGAAAAAATTAAACCATATATTTCAAAAAATGCTAAAAAATTATACATTTTAGGTGCATTAAGTGTGAATCTTTTTTGGATGGGTCAACTAGGGTGTGTTTGGTTGCCTGTATGAGGCCTGGCCCACATCTGTAGATGCAATTTTCGGTTTTTGGTTACCTGCGTGGCCTTCCCAGCCTCGCCCCGCTCATGCAAAAAGGCCTCCGTAGCCAGGCTGAGTGGAAACAGTCAATTCGAGCTTCACAACTCAGCTTGGCCCGATGGATGTAACTGGCTGTATCCGCGCGTGCAACTGGTAAAGATGGGGTCAGTTTGCCCCTCCTCATTTCTCCCCCCAAATCCAAAAGCTAGGGTTTGGTGCCAGCGTGCCACCCTCCTCCTTGACACTACTCGTGGACACATGGCCTAGAAAAGAGAGACGTACATGGGCTGATACAAGTGCATATAGATGTATTTTGTCGTTCTCCATCATCCGCACGATATATAAAAGTTAGAGTAAAATGCTTGGAGAGGGTCATCTAACTTATTTAGACGTGTCACATAGGTCACTCTTCTAATTTTAAATTGCACATCTGAATCACGTTAGTGAGTCAACTGAGTCATTTAGTCAACTAACTATCCACATGAGGACGCCTTGTATATATGACATGTCACCTAGAATTGACAAAAATACATCATCCGCAGCCGCTGCCTCTTAGGAATTCGACTCCATTTCTGTTTACATCCATAGTTTATCATTGCCGTCGGGTTTGATGGCAAGTGAGAGAGGACTGAGAACTAGCAGAAAAACTCATCAAAACAGACACAAGTGAAATGATTTGGTTCCTTTCATTTCTTGTTAGTGTTGTGACAAAAGGGGAAAAGAACACACATGTGGTTTCCTGCATGTCCAAAAGCAATTTTTCCAATAAGGGCACCCACAATGGTTATCTATAGGCTCTCTACAAGAGATCCATGTCAGCATATTTTCCTACTTGGAAGGTATTAAATGAAGAGAGAGAGCAAAGCTATCTACTAACTTAGAGATAATCTATAGAGAAAAACGAGGCAATGCATGAGAGAGTTATAGATACCAATGTAGACATACTATTAAGGTGGTTTACTATTAATCGAGTCTATTGCTGAGATATACAAGTTTTATAGATAGCACCTTACTTTACCATTGCGGGTGCTCTAATAGGTGGCATGCCATGCGTATAAGATATCGTGTGGATAATTAATTAGATGGTTGAATGACTCCCTTAACTCATGTTAGTAACAAAATATACATTTTAAAAGTAGAGTGGCCTACTTAACACACCTGAACAAAGTAAAATGACCCTCCATACATTTTTACATAGAAATAAACTTTTTGCATATAAATTTGGAACAAATTCAACATCATGTTATCCTAGGGCAGAAAAAGCTTTATTTATAGAAACTTGATATATAGATACTCTGTACACGTGTAGAGAAAATTTATACTATGAATATTATTATACACATAAATTTTAAAATATATATATTTCAAAAATAAAGTGTATGCGAACTGCGAGGGCCATGTACACCGAAAGACGGGCCATGAAGGCAGAAAGGCAAGACTCCTCGTAGAGCCCACCTCCCTGATGGCCACCTTCGCTTCGTTCTTAAGCTCTCCTGGCTTATTTTTTCTTTTCCTCTCTCGCTCTAAATTACTGTATCGCCGTCATGTACGCCTCGAATTCAAGGGTATTGGTGCACTACTGAAATAATATCGGTTCAACACACTCCCTACTTTCGCTCACTACATTCCCTCACCACCTCCCGATTGAGGCGAACCCATGCATGGGCTCCAAGGATAGCCAACTCACCACAAACACCACCCACTTGTCCCATCGCAAACACTACCCCAAAAGCCCCCAAGGACCTCGCTCGCTCGCTCGCTCTCCACATCGAGCAAGAGCTAGCAGGAGGAGCTTTGATCGCCAGGCGCCATGGACGCGTCGATCGGCGATCCGAGGCTGACGTCGGTGGAGGCGGCGTTCGAGAAGAACCCGCTGCCGGGCTTCAGCTGGCTGGTGACGCCGCGGGCCATGGCCGTCGCGGTGCTACTCGGGATCGTCTTCTGCTTCGTCGGCATGAGGATCCAGATGATGACCGGGTTCGTGCCGGCGCTCAACATGCCCGTCACCGTCCTCAGCTTCTTCCTCCTCAAGGTGCTCGCCAGGCAGCTGCAGAAGTGGCGATTGACCGTGGTGCCCTTCACGCGCCAGGAGAACATGTTCCTCATCACTTGCGTCATCACCTGCCTTAACCTAGCCATCACTGGTAAGCATTAGTCACCATAATATATACATATAAAATTCATGAGTAAAATGTTGCAAAACTACACTTCTTTTGTCATAATTCAAGGAAATACGAAGAAAAAAGACTAGTTGTTAGATGGTATATAATATGAGCTTTGTTAATGGTATACCATAAAACCCATGCTTTGTCAATAGTGTACAATGAATTACTCATATTTTTCTGAAACAACATTTATAGCCATTTTTTTTTCATTTTGCATCTCTTCTAGTTCAACTGGTGTATTTTCTGGTTACCTTTTTTTAGGTGGTTTCGCAACCGCTCTCACTGGAATGGGTACTATAGTGGCCAAAACACTTGCTGATGATCTAGATCCAAGAGATATTATCGACTATATACCAACAGGAAAATTGATTATATACTTTTTCCTTATTGGTATGGCAGGGGTATTGTCTAATATTCCATTAAACCAGGTAATTTTCATTTCTTTTTTTTTGTACGTGTGTGTGTGAGTACAGCTGGACACGCATACATTACTCACACAGGTGTGCATTTTCTATGTGCACTTGAAATAATGTCAGAGACCCGCATGAGTATGTGCATATATATACCCCCATTATATTAAAACGCATATGCATCACTACAAGACTTGAGAGCTCTGCGGGTGAACATACTGCTGTGTACTCATTTTGGGACAACAGCACTAAATTCTTCTTTCGCTATGTATTTGATGAAACTGCATTTGTAATTCCAGAAGTATGCATTCCTATAAGTTAACAATATACGCTTTAATAATCATTAAGCTTTCTTTGTCATCGAGTTGCATTTACTGACATGATGGCTTAGGCTTCGTTCGAGCGCATGAGGAAGAGAGAAAGATAGTTTTGTTTTCCGGGCGCACGTTTCCCGAACTACTAAACGGTGTGTTTTTTGCAAAAAATTTCTATAGGAAAGTTGCTTTAAAAAATCATATTAATGCATTTTTGAAGTTTAAAATAATTAATACTCAATTAATCATGTGCTAATGGCTCACCTCGTTTTGTTTATCTTCCCAATCTCCTCAATCCCCTCCTTGTCAAACACACCCTTAGCCTTCATGTAAAAGCAGGGCAAGAATCAAAAAGTGGTGCTGATGTTCTTTCATGGTGTAAATATTTTTTTTCATGTATGCATTAGGTGGTGTTTGGTTGGAGGGACTAAAGTGGGGCTAAACTTTAGTCCCTCTCACAAAAACATAAGTCCCTACCATAGGGACTTGTACTTTCGTGAGAGGGACTAAATTTAGTCTCTAGTTCCCAAATATAGTTCCCAAATACCCCCTTAGTATGAGAAGCTATACGGAAGTTAGGTTGGGTTCGGCACCCCTTTTCCCAACCTCTCTCCCTCGTTTTCCACGCACACACTTTTCAAACTATTAAACGGTTCGTTTTTTGCAAAAAGTTTCTATATGAAAGTTGCTTAAAAAAAATCAAATTAATCCATTTTTGAAAAAAAAGCTAATACTTAATTAATCACATGCTAATGGACTGCTCCGTTTTTCGTGCGTTACTGATCTAGTTTGGAACAACTAAAATATGTACATATTTTAGTGGTCAAAGTTACATCCTACAAGCCTACAACTATGTATTCCATCCTATATGCTATATTAGTGAGGGCGATCCACTGGCAAAATTTTTCACTGTCACATCGAATGTTTAGACACATGCATGGAGTATTAAATATAAACGAAAAAAATAACTAATTACACAGATTGCGTGTAAATTGCGAGACGGATCTTTTAAGCCTAATTGCTCCATGATTTGACAATGTGGTGCTACAGTAAACATTTGCTAATGACGGATTAATTAGACTTAATAAATTCGTCTCGTAGTTTACAGGAGGAATCTGTAATTTGTTTTGTTATTAGTCTACGTTTAATACTTCAAATGTGTGTTCGTATATCCGATGTGACACGCCAAAACTTTACACCCATATATCTAAACACCCCCTGAATCAACTTAACTTAGTTATTTCTATAAAATTCAACATGCATTTAGTCCTGTTTGGTCAGTACACCCATCAATACGTTACATGAAGTTAGCATTCCCTATTAATTGCTATATTTTTACTCATTTAGTACTTAATTAATATGTAGGCCTGTAAAGTGATGTTACAAGCATGTCTAAATTCTTAATGCAATGAGAGGGATATCCATTTCTAATAGTATAGTTTTGTATTTATATATTATCATTCTTAATAGTTTTGCATTATTCTCATTCTTAAATATAATTTATGAGTTGTTTCGTTCTACTGTAGATCATGATTATCGACTACCAATTACTATTCCCAACAGGATCGGTCATAGGACACCTTATTAATAGCTTTCACACTCCTGAAGGTGCTTATATAGCAAAGTAATGAAGTCTTGTCTTTTTAGTGAAAATTAAAACACTGAATTTCATTTAACTACATATTCATATTTTTTGCACTAATATTTTTATGTCAACAGAATGCAGGTTATGACTATTTTCAAAGTATTTTTTGGTAGTTTTTCTTGGTCTATATTCCAATGGTTCTATTCTTCAGGCAGTGGTTGTGGATTTTCAAGCTTTCCAACGTTTGGACTGGAACTATATAAACGCAGGTGATAGCTATATTCCTTTTTTAAAATAATGGTATTAGTCAATGATTGAGTATCAACATAGTATCATCAACAGATGATCTAGAACGGTCACACAGAAAATTATATATCTATACATATAGCGTATCACGAAATTCTCTTAACAATTTGTATATAAGTTGTGTATCCATTTCCAAAACAGAAATGATTAAATATGTAAGAAACAATTAGTAATTTCACAATATTTAATGCCAATATAGTTATTATGCTGATAACTAGAGAAAAGTGGCAAGGAGTTTTCAGAATAGCTAGCTAGACAATTGGGCCATACATGTCATGTGAAACTGTGAGACTGAATATATTGCTCAATCTGGTCTGCAGATTTAGGGGGGTAGACAATAAAAAATGTAGTCCTGATTTCATCGATGGAAGATGGTCTTACGGATTATGGAACCATCGAATTGCTGCTAATTGTAGGAATTGATGCAGATCTCAGTAAATCCATGTACAAATTTAAATATATTTTAAAGGATATAAGCGTCTGAATTACTAACATATTGTATTGTGTGTGCCTACAGATTCTACATTGATTTCTCTGCAACATATATTGGTGTAGGAATGATGTGCCCACATATAGTCAATTTTGGGTTACTTTTCGGGGCCATCATCTCTTGGGGATTTCTATATCCTTACCTTGAAACTAAACATGGGGAGTGGTATCAAACTGATAGCCCTTCAAACTTAGACGGACTCAATGGATACAAGGTACATTTCTTTTCTTAATATAATGGATAAAAATCCGACCTACCTCTTTATCCACAGATAGCCGAAAGTTACGAGAGTTCTTAAACTCCAAGCCTCAAAACTGAGGAACTCAGAGAAACAATAAAGATATATATACGTAAATAATAAGATCATATCAATTGTTGGATCATCTAATAAGATTTTATCTCACTCATTTTGTGGTACGTACTAACCAATGCACGGAAAGAATTTTGTCCCCCAAATTAATAGCTACTTCCTCCGTTTCATAATGTAAGTCTTTCTAGCATTGCTCATATCTATATGAATATGCGCAATGCTAGAAAAACTTACATTATGAAACGGGGGAGTAGTACTAATTGAAATGCATATGAAGGTATCAAGTATAGTAATACCTAGTATATTAGAATTTTTGTCATGATCCATGTATCCAATTTATAACTTGAACAAACCTTCTGATATAATTTCCAGATATATGCATGCGGTGGATGAAAGCCATATTAATTTTGGTAGTTTTTCACTAGTGACACGAACTATTCTAAACTTCTTGTTTTTTTTTCTCCAATGGATATAAACTTACATGGCAGGTGTTCATCAGCGTGACACTGATCGTCACTGACGGCCTGATAAACTTTCTGATACTCGTGACTTCAGCTGCAATTAACTTCTACCATATAAGGCAACAGCAACAGCAAACGTCAGGGCTGGCCAGCTACATCAGCAAGAACCCTAGCATGAACTACGACGAACGCAAAAGGATCGAGATGTTCTTGTCCAGCAAGATCCCAATGTTCGTGCCGGTGGCGGCCTACGTCGCATGGACGGCCATCAGCATGGTCGCGATGCCGGCCATGTTCGACCAGATCAAGTACTACCACGTCGGCGTGCTCTACCTCGCCATACCCGTGGTCGGCTTCTGCAACACCTACGCGACGGGGCTCACCGACTGGTCGGTGTCGAACACCTACGCCAAGTTCTCCCCCTTCATCTTCGCGGCGTGGATCGCCAGGCCGGGCGCCATCGTCGCCAGCCTCCTCGTCAGCGGGATCACCATGGCGTCGCTGCACGTCTCGTCGCAGGCGATGCAGGACCTCAAGTCGGCGCACATGACGCTGACGTCGCCGCGCGCCATGATCGCCGGGCAGGTGTTCGGCGTGGCGCTCAGCTCCGTGGTCAGCCCCTGCATCTTCCGCGCGTTCGAGAAGGCGGCGAAGCCCGGGGCGCCGCTGGGGTCCAAGGACTCCGTCTACCCGTGCCCCTACGCCGGGCTGTACCGCGCCATCTGCATCATCGGCATGGGAGGGGTGAAGGGCCTCCCAAAGTACTGCGTCGAGCTCTGCGTCATCGCCGTCCTGGTGACCATCGCCATCGACGCCCTGGTGCTGGTCTCGCAGCTCAAGGGGTGGAGGCTCCACCTCTACATCCCGAGCATGACGGTGATCGCGCTGCCGTTCTTCGCCGGGTCGTACTTCACCCTCGACATGTGCCTGGGCGGCCTGCTGCTGCTCCTCTGGAAGAAGATCGACACCATGAGCGCCGAGATCCTGTCGGCCGCCGTCGCAGCGGGCTTGATCTGCGGCGAGGGGCTCTTCACGCTGCCATCGGCGTTGCTCAACATGTTCAAGGTGCTACCGCCGATGTGCATGAAGTTCTTGCCCAGTGGACAAGAGGTTGAGGTGGTGGACTCATTCCTGAACAGCTCGGGAGGAACAGTACCCAAGACATGACCGATCGATGTTGAGATCAAGTTAATATATGCACTCATCAAATTAAGATTGACTGTTAGTACTCCTTAATTGGTTACCACATCTCGGTGGAAATTAAGTGGTCTATGAATCATTATTGATCATTGTAAATAATGATGCACGTATCGTATTTTACATATATATATGTCATGTAATTGACATAAGTAGACATGTGAGCCAGCTTTGGTTGCAACATGTAAGAGATGCTTGTTATAGTTAAGTGCCACAGAATAAAGTTGTAGTTGAAATATGAATTATACTACTATTCCACAAATGTTCACTGTTTTCTAACATAATGCAGTACAAAATCTTAAAAGCTTGTGGTACTCAACAGGAGTTTCTCAGCATATTTTTCTATGCAAAGTGTTGTATTAATACAGGTGATAGGGTAGGGTTAGCTTTTGACTCTTGTAACGTATCAACTCTTTAAATATAGAGGACACCACAATGTAACTATGCATGGTGACGAAAATGCAATGTAGGCACTCACGAGGAGGATGGCAGCATTGTCATAGGCCTATAGCAGTTAGGTGTACTATTGATTGAGGAGTAGCATCCATAATTAGAGTGTCAAGATTTATGCTTTGGCTATAAACCTCGTTAACAAATGTGTTCTTAAGCATATATGAGTTGATCAATGGTTGAAGTGTGTGCAAAAGAGTGCGAAATTATTGGTATTCTACATGTCACATCCATCAATTCTAATTCTAATTCAAATTTCTATTCTATTTTAACCCCTAGCATAGTTTTGATAGACCTCGTACAAATCTTAAAGCAAATGGTTAAAACTACTTTCTGGACACTCATTGTAACCGTTTCCACCCTGTAAACATTAGGTATGTTGCCCTCAGCAGCATCTGTTTCATCAATATAGAAATAAGGAACAGAATCAGAGAAATCGGTTCAACAAACAGACGCTATTTTTGCTCCACAGCGACACTACATTCCCTCACCACCTCCCAATTCAGACCAACCCATGCATTGTTCCTAGGAGAGCCAACCCAGGAGACCACCCACTTGTGCCATCACAACACAACCCAAAAACCCTCCAGGAGGTTGCCTCCATTGACCTGGAGCTTTAATCGCCATGGATGCGATGATCGGCGATCCCATGTCAGCGACATCGGTGGAGGCGGTGTTCGAGAAGCAGCCATCGCCGGAATTCAGGGAGCTGGTGACGCCACGGGCCATGGCCGTGGCGGTGGTGCTCAGCGTCGTCATCTGCTTCGTCGGCATGAGGATCCAGATGACGGCCGGGATAGTGCCGGCACTCAACATGCCTGCCAGCATCCTCAGCTTCTTCCTCCTCAAGTGGCTCATCAGGCTGCTACAGAGTTGTGGCTTTCCCATGCTGCCATTCACACGCCAGGAAAATATGTTCCTCCTGACTTGCATCATCACCTGCCTCAACCTGGCCCTCACAAGTAAGCATCAGCATTATATGCCTGGGTAAATATTGCGAAAACATACTTCTCCCACAAGTATAGGAAATACTACATGTTATATATTTAGATGGAAAAGCCTACAACTGTGCTACTACTTGTGAAAGAAAAAGAAAAAAAAACTAGATAGACTGACTCAATCACCAGCCTCAGGTGGCTCTCTCCCTTACAGCGTACAGCTGAAAGGGCACATAAAACTAGCACCTGAGCATGCGACCTCATACAAATCACCTCATCTTACAAGTTATCAGTCAACTAAACTGGGGAGGTGACAAAACAGTAGGTTTCTTTACAGTTATCCTTCAACCAGTTGTGGCTTTGTGATATGTGAAACAAGAACAGAAACTATTTTATTTTCTGGCAGTTCAATCAGGACTATTAAGTATTAACTACTTTAAATTCTGCTAGTTGAGTTGCAGTTTTGAAAATCTAGCTTAAAAGTATTAGTGTTAGCCATAGTAGTTCTTCAGGGTGTCAAGAGTTACATGGTTCATCGAAATTATTTATCTTCTGCCAGGTTCTCAAGCAGCCATCCCAACATGAAAATCTTGTTGCAAAAGCCAGAAAGATTAAAAAAACAGAGTTCAAAATATCGGATAATCAAAACTTCTCTGGTCTAAGGACAACAAAACAAAATTTTGGTCCTAAAATATTCCATGAAACTGTTCTGAATGATGTTTGTCTAACAAAACTTGAATTTCCAAAAAATGTGCAAATTAAAATGCAACCAAGAAATTTTCTTTTTTCTCCTTTTAAATGTATTGGGACTTTGTTCTCATCAATAATACAATTATCTATGCATGAGTAATGACAAGATAAATTAATAAATTCCTCAGAAGTACGTGAAATATTCTTTTCTTAAGAAGTTATTTGAATAACCTGGAGGGGCAACATAAATCAAAACTTTGGAAATTACTAAAAAGCTTGATAAGAAGGCCAGAAGATAAGTGAATCTATAGGTAGTTAGATTTAACTTTCCGTAGGAAATAATGACATAAACAAAACGTAAACACTATTGCCAACAAAAATAATGAAGAACAGTAAATATGAAGTAGATATATAATATATTATGTTTTAAACAAAGGTTCCATACATAAATGAACCTTTTACCCAGTTAGTAGTTAGTACTAGTCTCACTCTAAACTCCACATAGGAGCCCAGTGGAAACAACTACTACCACTATCCCAAAATAATTGTAATTCTAGATTGTTTAGTATATATTAAGTTTTGAGAAAAAAGACTATGATACCCCTCATTAAATAGTATATAGATAAAACTAGAAGGATGGTTGAGGGTAGAATGAAAAGTGATTGGTAGGACAATTATTACTCTATTGTCACAACTATTTTGGGACAAATTTGAATCCTAGAAATACAATTATTATGGGACGGAGGTAGTATGAAATTTAATCTAGGCTTATTATATCAGCAAGTTCCAGTCATAATTAACCATCTATTTTGAATATCATGGGTGCTGCCAGAAAAGACGGAGAAAATTTAGAGGACTATTACCATACGATCACACTCACGTAGTTAAAATCTCCAGTAGTAACTGTATTTCCTCGATTACTGCCACAGGATAATTTCATGCCTCTAAAACCAAGAGAAATTTTATAATTAAGGTAGTAAAGAGACATAAAAGATGTGATTTGAACTTGGAGATTTGTCATATGAGATATGAAATTGATTATTGTGGTTATTGTAAATGCATATTCACCTGGGTCCATCCATTTATACAGACAATACCTTTTGAAATAAAAAATATTGATATATCAAAAAACAAAACATTCAGTAGAGAAAGTAGCATACCTATAAAACCAAACTTTTGGGGAAGTTGTGCGCCTAAAAAATAGGTTTTGGAAGGGGGAGGAGAGATTGAATTATCAAGAATTGTTTTTATCTTTTGAAACCATTTTTATTAACTTCGAATTAAATCCTTCCATAACTTATATTTAAAAGTAAACCTTTTGGACACAAGGTATTTAAGAGCCCAAAATTGGAATACTTTTTTCAAAACAAAATACTCAAATAATTTGTAGCCAGTTTTTTTTTTTTACATTTTGTATCTCTTTCTAGTTTAACTGGCCTATTTTCTTGTTACATTTTTTAGGTGGTTTTGCGACCAATATCATTGGAATGACTTCTACGGTGGCCAGATCACTTGCTGATGATCCAGATCCAAGAGATATTATGGACCATGTACCAATCGGAAAATGGATAGTATACCTATTCCTTGTTGGTATGACGGGAGTGTTAATAAATGTGCCATTTAACCAGGTTTCTTCTTTCACTGATTGATCATTTTTTTTTAATTTTAGAAGTTTCTACTTAACATTTCTAAGATTGTTTTGCATTATTCTCATCCTTAAACATAATTCATAAGTTGATTTCCTTATACTGCAGGTCATGATTATTGACTACAAATTACTATTTCCAACAGGAACAGTTATAGCTCAGCTTATTAATAGCTTTCATACCCCTGAAGGAGCTTACGTAGCAAAGTAATGAAGTCTTGTTTTCTTAGTAAAAAATTGACAGATTGAATTTCATTTAACTATATTCATGATTTTGTGCACTAATATTTGCATGTAATCCAGAATGCAGGTTGCGACCATTTTCAAAGTATTTTTTGGCAGTTTTTCTTGGTCTATGTTCCAGTGGTTCTATACTGCAGGCGATGATTGTGGATTTCAGCACTTTCCAACATTTGGACTAGGATTATACAAACACAGGTGATAAATATATTCAATTCTGCTAAAGAACGATGTTACATGCGTTACAGTTGTGTCCTCCTCACCTTCACAGAAAGATGACATTTTATAGACTATATATTAATCAATGTTTTTGAGTATCAACATATTATCAATTTATCATACACAAAAGATCTGAATGGTTATAGAGAAAACTGTGTAAATAGTTTATTACACAATTATCTCAATAGTGTGTATGCAAGTCATGTATTTCTATAAAAAAAGAATTATTTGACATATATAAGTCTAAGATCGTCATGTTCATAAAAGACATGACACTAAATATGAAAATGGCTAATGACAATTAGATCATACACGTCCTATGAAATGGCAACATTGAATTGATCAATGTGATTTATTTACTATAGGCTAGGGTAGGGAATAAATAACTCAGTCCAAATTTCATTGATGGTTCATAGGAATCTTATGCATTACGGAATCATTGAATTGATGCCATTTGTAGGAATTGAGTTTGACAATGATTAGTCAATCCATGTACAGGTTTGAATATATTTTACAGGATAAGCATATCAGTCGAAGTGAGGTACTAACACACACATATATATATATATATATGCTGTACCTACAGGTTCTACTTTGATTTCTCTGCGACATATATTGGTCTGGGAATGATTTGTCCACATATAGTAAATTTTGGATTATTTTTTGGGGCCATCATCTCTTGGGGATTTCTATATCCTTTCCTTGAAACTAAACGTGGGCAATGGTATCAAACTGACAGCCCTACAAGTTTGAATGGACAAAATGGATACAAGGTATGTACGAAAAAAATTAAAATGAAGCATACTACTGAAGGGTTGTCTAAAATTTATCAGTCCTTTTCTGCTACTAATCAATGCAAAGACATATTTTTCCCACCAATTATTTTAGCTACTCTACTAAAATGCATCTGAAGGTGTCCAAGCATGCCAACATCTCACACCCATAATAACCAATTAAGTTGAACAAACCGTACGATGATACGAACATATGTGTAATTGCTCTTTCTTTTAATATGCAACAACTTCCACTCTTCTATCTGTGAGTTGGTTGCAAACCTGCAAACAAGGGGAAAAAAGACATGCATGAAAACTAGGTAATTGCTATAAGTTGGACCAAGTATATGTATCTTACCACCTTACTGGGGTTAAAATTACACATTATCATTCTACCAATGCAAATTTCATGGTACTGTACATTCTTGTTGTTGTTGTTGATGGTATGTTATAGTAACTAGTGTCATTGCATCAAAAATCAAGAATACATAAATTCAAATGTTGTTGTTGATGGTATGTTATAGTAACTAGTGTTATTGCATCAAAAATCAAGAATACATAAATTCAAAAGTTGGCATCATTGCAGAAGAAAGGAGAAAATTCATACATACACTTTCATGTAATACAGATCAGGGAGGTATTGCATTCATTAACAATCTGAGCACATACTTCATATCATATATTTCGTTTAGTATATTACACTTGACTAAGAATTTTGAGATTCCAATCAAGCTTTTCACCTTTAAATTTAATTTCACCATGAGCTGTATCTGTTGCTACTACCAAACATGTGCATAGTCATTGCAGCACTTTTGATGATGTAGGCTATATTGCTGTCTTGATCAATTTGCTAGCTACTTTTTCACTAGTGAGACATACTCTTCTAAGCTTTTTTTTTTCTATGGATATAACTTATATAACAGGTGTTCATCAGTGTGACACTGATCATTACTGATGGGATGATAAACTTTCTAACACTCATCACTACAGCATCAATTAACTTCTATCAATTAAGGAAAGAGCATGATTTAGGGCTTGCCAACTATTTCAAGAAACACCCAAGCCTCAACTATGATGATCGCAAGAGGATTGAGGTGTTCTTGGCTAACCGGATCCCAATCCCTGTGCCAGTGGCAGCCTATATCACATGTGCAGCCATCAGCACGATTGCAATCCCAGCCATGTTCAACCAGATCAAATTCTACCATCTGGCCGTGCTTTACATGGTCATCCCAGTCGTGACCTTCTGCAACACCTATGCGACAGGGCTCACCGACTGGTCGGTGGCACCAACCTATGCTAAGTTTACCACCTTCGTCTTTGCAGCATGGATCGCCAAGCCTGGCGCTGTCGTGGCCAGCCTCCTTGCGAGCGGGGTGATCGTGGCGGCACTCCACATCTCGTCGCAAGCGATGCAGGACCTCAAGTCGGGCCACATGACGCTAACGTCGCCACGCGCCATGGTCACCGGACAGATCTTCGGCGTGGCCGTTGGCTCCATCCTCTGCCCATGCGTCTTCCTTGCCTTCCAGTCCACAACGAAGCCCAACGCACCGGTGGGTTCAAAGCAGTCCGATTACCCATGCCCTTTCGCGGGTCTATACCGCGCCATCGGGGTGATCGGCACTGGAGGGGTGAAAGAGCTGCCAAAGCACTGCATGACATTCTGTGTCGTTGCCTTCTGCGTGACGGTCATCATTGACGCTGTCGTGCTGGTCTCTCAGAAGAGGGGTTGGAGCATCCACAGGTACATCCCCAGCATGACGGTGATTGCGCTGCCGTTTTTCGCTGGCTCCTACTTCACCATCGATATGTGCGTGGGGAGCCTTTTGCTGCTTGCCTGGACAAGAATGAATGCAAAAAGTGCAGAGATGCTGTCATCGGCCGTTGCGGCAGGCTTGATATGTGGAGAAGGGCTGTTCACACTGCCATCAGCGTTGCTCAACATGTTCAAGGTGCAACCACCGATGTGCATGAAGTTCCTATCCGGTGGCGAAGAAGTTGAGGCAGCGGACTCATTCTTGAACAATTTGGGAACATCCAGAACATGATGAGAAATGCACTCAAAGATTTACCAGTAGAAAATGGACTATGATCGTTGTAAATGATGCACATATTTTACATATGTCATGTAACTTAAGTTGACATGTGAGCGAGCTTGGTTAACATGTAGGAGATGCATGATATAGTGGAGTGCCACCGCGTAAAGTTCTAGAAAATAAAGGGGCATTATATTCTGCAGAAGTTCACTGTCATCTAAAAGGTAACTGAGAAAATGAGAAGAACTAGAACATGGAGTTTTTTTTTTAGTGAGATCAGAAATTAAATTTGTCGTAAATCAAGCAGTAAACTGGCAAATATATTACAACAATCTTTGATATTCATCGGTTTATCGACCAAATCTTAGTGAGCTGTTTTTAGTTTAGGCTTTGGATGCAAATCCATGGATTGGAATGTTGCTTCTGGCAGAGGGAAAGCGGAAACTCACCAGCAATTGAGGCGGAGCATGTTCTCCGATCCGGCAGCGACGCGAGATCATCTTTGTTCCCCTGGTGATAGCGTAGCAGAGGCGTCAGATAAGGTATGGTGGGGTGGGGATACGGCCATGGGGGTGGTGAGGAAGGCGAACCTCGCTATGGCGACATCAACAACCGTGGGCAGCGGCGGCGGTGGCGGTGGTGGCTCTGCGCCTGACTGCGCGGCAACGGCGGCAAGCCCCTGGGGCGCGGCGCCGTGGCAGAGAGGTTGCTGTGTTTGGGCTGCAGAGAACCCCTTGACCACCCGTCCAACGACGCGGCGATTCCAGCGCGGTGCCAGGTGTTCGTGCCCCCACGACGGCGATGGCTGCTTCGCCGGTGCCGGCACCGTCACCGATGTGGCCTCCAGAGAGTTCTGGCGGCAAGGCGAAGCTCTCACCATGGTCGGCGGCGCCGCTTGCGAACCACCCCTCTACCCTCGGTCGTGGCTGAGCAGCGTCGCTGTGGAGGACGACGAGAGACGGCCGGATTCGAGGAGACGAGGAATTTGGGGATTGGAGTTGGACGAAGACAGTTTGGGCTCAACCCACCGTTCCATCGAATTAAATTTGAAAATATACATTGTTTTTTAATATTTTACGTTTATATACATGCATGTAAAATATTCGCACAAATATACCTTCTCTGTATGATGGAAACGCGGGACCGAGACAGTGCCGCGCTTTCATTCTGCGGAACCGGCAGTCGCGCAGCACAGCCGTGTGGCACCGCTCGCTCCCGCAGCCCGGGAGAGCGGCAGCGTGGTATAGGCAGCTGCACACGGTCGAGGTGACCGCCTCCACGGCACCGATGCACGGAACCGATCCGGTCACGCGACATCATGGCGCGGGACCGTGCCGGTCGCGCAACACCGTCCCGTCCCGTGTGTGCGCGTGTCGCGGTTGACGCGCCATGCAAGCATCACATGTCGAGCACGCATGCAGGCAGTTGATCCAGTCAAATCCCAGGCACTAGCTTAGGGGTGTGTTCGGCACCTCCATTTTCCAACCCATCTCTCTCATTTTTCACTCGCACGCTTTTCAAACAGCTAAACGGTGTGTTTTTTAAAAAGTTTTTATGCGAAAGTTGCTTAAAAAATTTAAATTAATATATTTTTAAAAAATTTAGCTAATGCTTAATTAATCACGCGCTAATGGACCACTCCATTTTCCGCGCATTCCTGGTTGGGAACCTATACTAGCGAACACACCCTAGGCCTATTTAAATCCCGCCCTAAAATTTTTCACCATGTTACATCAAACGTTTGAACACATGCATAAAGTATTAAATATAAGCTAAAAAAATAATTAATTACATAGATTGTGACTAATTTGCGCGACGAATCTTTTAAGCCTAATTACTTCATGATTTAACAATGTGGTGCTACAGTAAACATTTGCTAATAACGAATTAATTAGGTTTAATAAATCCCTTAAGCTAGTGACTATGTATTGTAGGGTTTGACTGGATCAACTGCCTGCATGCGACCATGCGTGCTTGACAGGTGATGCTTGCATGGTGCGCGTCGACCGCGACATGTACACGTGCACGCGCGGGACGGGACGGGACGGTGCCACACGCCATGGTGCCGCGCGACCGGATCGGTCCCGCGCATCGGTGCCGTGCGACCGTCTCAGCACCGCGTGCAGCCGCCCTCCACCACGCTGCCGCTCTCCTGGGCTGCTGGAGCGAGCGGTGCCACACGGATGTGCTACGCGACCGCCGGTCCCACAGAATGAAAGCGCGGCACCGCTTCGATCCCGCGTTCCCATCATACGGAGGAGGTATATTTGTGCAAATATTTTACATGCATGTATATAAACATAAAATATTAAAAAACAATGTATCTTTTCAAATTTAATTCCCGTTCCATCCAAGGAATAAAATTCATCGCCGAGCCTAAAATTTGTCCCCAAACTGAAATACTAGAGAATGGATCCCTCAATTTACAAAACAGGATCATCATCCACAAGTTTAGAGACGAATTTCAGACTTTACGACAAATTTGAGAGACCTAAAATAAACTTATCCCTTCCATCCAATGAAAATCTGTGAGCTGGATTTGTCAGGCCCAAAAAATTGCAACAAAATCCTAAGAAAAAAATAATTATTATGCTTCCCTTTACGATGCTGTTAACAACCAAATTTGATAACATCGGCGTCAGGAAAGAAGATTAGATCGAAGCAAAGTCGGAGGCGGAGATCGAGTTCGAAAACAGAGCAGGAATCGGCTGGAGACCAGATCGGCTACGATTAGGATTGGCTGGGTCTGAGTCGGACTAGGTAAGCCGGTGTAGCCGATTCCGACAATGCAACTTGATGAATGAGATATCAGGTTGAATTGAGGCGCTTCAAGGTGATTGCCGCACATGGATAGAGTCCTGAGAAGGCAATTGTATCTATTAATTAGGATGTTTTATGTGATCTCCTTAGAGATACGCTTGGGCAAAAGTCTGCCGCAAAGACGTATGGTATCTTAGAGTTTGTTAGAGATAGTAGTTGTATCCGTTATGGACATATCTTGTAATTCTCGGGTATAAATAGACCCGAGCCCTATATAACTTCGAACACACATGTTCAATACAATTTCGGCGCACCGCCACCCTTTTGCTTTAGTTCTGTTTCAACGAGTTCTTGCTTTCGGGTTGAGTTGCATCGGTTTTGATCTTCAACAAGAGGCAAAACTTGTTATGACGGCTTGTATTCTCAGGATTAGTGCTTCTATCTTTATGACACTCTAATCTTGTTTATGTAATTCGTAGAGTTATCATATATCTTACATAATCTCTGGTAATATCGCTATCTAACCTACAATCGACTAACATCTATCGAAGAGGGCAGCTGATTAGGTTAGATTTTGACGTTGATTTAGATTATATAAGATATCTACCACTCTATGAAACTTCCAGCGGCTTGATTGTCTAGATATTGTTCTTCTTTTCATACTTAATGCTGCATCAGTTGAGTTTGATCTATTAAGTCGTGCTTAGAATATCAATCTCTAGCCTGCCTTCTGGTTGCCGATTAGGGTAGCATCGAAGTTTCAGCCGATCTTATCCGATTTAACTATATTTGCTCTATATGCTTCATTGACATGTTAAATCTGCCCTTTATGCCAAGATATTGCTGTATCTAAGTATATTAGGCCTTTGTTTGATATATTATACCTGTTTTAATATCCTGATAGAGTAGTATCGGAGTATTAGCCGATACATGCTAGATCTATCTGATCGGCTATGCTATAAACATATATAGTCCTGTTAGTAATATATATTTCGATCTAAGTGATTTATACTGTCTCGGCATGGCGACCGATCTATCCCAATCACTTGATTTAAGTATATATCGATATAAGAACTATATATTGGAAATATCTACAGCCGATCGAATAGATTTAGTTCTTTATTGTCTATTTACAACTGCCGATCGATTCACATATGACATCGGCTCAAAGATAAATGATATGTCATCGGCGCCTAGCCGATCGGCTATCATTTATAGATTTAACCGAGGTTTCTTTGCTTCTATTTCTTATTGATTACAGGATCAAATCAACTGGCACGCTAGCACACCCCAAGGCGAGCTTTGGACCTGCACTGGAGTTAAGCAGATCTCCCAGGCCTCGTGTTTTCTGTCAACAGATGCCCTGACTCCGATTTTCCTCCCTCAACCTAAATCGGATATGACGACTCACTCACCTATAAAAAATTGATTTATTTTATCTATCCAAATGGTTTTGATTGATTTAGCCTCTCTTCTCTTTTGGCACACTCTTTTGGCACGCCTGGTGGGACATTTGAGAAGTCAGCCAACAATTCTTCCTCATGGCCAAGAAACAACCACCACCACCATCTAGCCCATGCTCTGTTAAGGACAAGATGCTGAAGTTAGGATTGACTGACGTCAATGAAGGAAACGTCGTGCCGATCGATCCAGAAAAATTCACACCTGAGCAGAAGAAAGAGTTTGAAGCAATATTGCAGCAAGCACGGGATCAGTTCTTGAAATCATTCATGCAGACCCGCAAGGGGACACTTGTTCAGAAGTACAAAATAAAAGTGGTTGCTGATGATCCTGGGACCAGTTCTTCTAAGGATGGAGATGGGAAACAAGCTCCAGACGGCTCGGCTCAGCCGAGTATCAAAGGTGCTACCGACGGCTCTCTAGGAAATCAAGGCGACAATTCTCAAGGAGTCCATGGAGTACAAGGTGACGGGGTGCATGGAGTTCAAGGTGACGGTGCTCAGGGGCTGCAGGGAGGAAATCTTAATCAGAATAGTGATGTGGCACAGGATTTTTTCAATAACTTCCAAGATCAGGTTGATTACGCTGTGCATCATGCTTTGATCAATCAGTCTGGGGTGTTAGTCAATACCTTATCAAACATGATGAAGTCAATAGCCGATGGTTCAATAGCTGAGCATCAGGCTGCAGGCCCGGTTTATTTGCACGGAGGTGTCTTCCCAAATTATCGGTCTTTGATTACAGATGTTCAGCCATCTACTCAGGCGGTTCCCTCCGTTGCACCAACAACTCAGCCAACAGCGCCGACATCAACTCCCCTACCTGCTTCATCAGCGATGGCGCCAGGCCAGCCGATGAACCCTCGGTTGTTAATGAGAGAGCAGCCACAGCATGGCGGGCAGGTTACGAGTCGGCTGACCCAAGATCAGGTTGCTGCCATGTTTCTGCCATCTCAACCTGTTGTTGATCCAATACAGCAGTAGCCGATTCAACAGACACTCCCAATTCAGCAGGTTGTACAACCAATTCGGCAACAGGTCATGCAACCAGTTCAACA